AGCTTCTGAGATCTGACGGGATCAGGCTTTGACAAGCCGGTAAAACCTCAACAACTCACAACAACTCACCCTCAAGTAACAGATAATACTCCCTACAACTGTACAACAGCTCACCCTCAAGTAACAGATAATACTCCCTACAACTGTACAACAGCTCACCCTCAAGTAACAGACAATACTCCCTACAACTGTACAACAATTTACCCTCAAGTAACAGATAATACTCCCTACAACTGTACAACAGCTCACCCTCAAGTAACAGACAATACTCCCTACAACTGTACAACAACTCACCGTTATGTAACAGATAATACTCCCTACAACTGTACAACAACTCACCCTCAAGTAACAGATAATACTCCCTACAACTGTACAACAGCTCACCCTCAAGTAACAGATAATACTCCCTACAACTGTACAACAACTCACCCTCAAGTAACAGATAATACTCCCTACAACTGTACAACAGCTCACCCTCAAGTAACAGATAATACTCCCTACAACTGTACAACAACTCACCCTCAAGTAACAGACAATACTCCCTACAACTGTACAACAATTTACCCTCAAGTAACAGATAATACTCCCTACAACTGTACAACAGCTCACCCTCAAGTAACAGACAATACTCCCTACAACTGTACAACAACTCACCGTTATGTAACAGATAATACTCCCTACAACTGTACAACAACTCACCCTCAAGTAACAGATAATACTCCCTACAACTGTACAACAGCTCACCCTCAAGTAACAGATAATACTCCCTACAACTGTACAACAACTCACCCTCAAGTAACAGATAATACTCCCTACAACTGTACAACAGCTCACCCTCAAGTAACAGATAATACTCCCTACAACTGTACAACAACTCACCGTTATGTAACAGGTAATACTCCCTACAACTGTACAACAGCTCACCCTCAAGTAACAGATAATACTCCCTACAACTGTACAACAACTCACCGTTATGTAACAGATAATACTCCCTACAACTGTACAACAGCTCACCCTCAAGTAACAGATAATACTCCCTACAACTGTACAACAGCTCACCCTCAAGTAACAGATAATACTCCCTACAACTGTACAACAACTCACCCTCAAGTAACAGATAATACTCCCTACAACTGTACAACAACTCACCGTTATGTAACAGATAATACTCCCTACAACTGTACAACAACTCACCCTTATGTGACAGATAATACTCCCTACAACTGTACAACAGCTCACCCTCAAGTAACAGATAATACTCCCTACAACTGTACAACAGCTCACCCTCAAGTAACAGATAATACTCCCTACAACTGTACAACAACTCACCCTCAAGTAACAGATAATACTCCCTACAACTGTACAACAACTCACCCTCAAGTAACAGATAATACTCCCTACAACTGTACAACAACTCACCCTCAAGTAACAGATAATACTCCCTACAACTGTACAACAACTCACCCTTATGTAACAGATAATACTCCCTACAACTGTACAACAACTCACCACTATGTAACAGATAATACTCCCTACAACTGTACAACAACTCACCCTCAAGTAACAGATAATACTCCCTACAACTGTACAACAGCTCACCCTCAAGTAACAGATAATACTCCCTACAACTGTACAACAGCTCACCCTCAAGTAACAGATAATACTCCCTACAACTGTACAACAACTCACCGTTATGTAACAGATAATACTCCCTACAACTGTACAACAACTCACCCTCAAGTAACAGATAATACTCCCTACAACTGTACAACAACTCACCGTTATGTAACAGATAATACTCCCTACAACTGTACAACAACTCACCCTCAAGTAACAGATAATACTCCCTACAACTGTACAACAACTCACCGTTATGTAACAGATAATACTCCCTACAACTGTACAACAACTCACCCTCAAGTAACAGATAATACTCCCTACAACTGTACAACAACTCACCCTCAAGTAACAGATAATACTCCCTACAACTGTACAACAACTCACCCTTATGTGACAGATAATACTCCCTACAACTGTACAACAGCTCACCCTCAAGTAACAGATAATACTCCCTACAACTGTGCAACAGCTCACCCTCAAGTAACAGATAATACTCCCTACAACTGTACAACAACTCACCCTCAAGTAACAGATAATACTCCCTACAACTGTACAACAACTCACCCTCAAGTAACAGATAATACTCCCTACAACTGTACAACAACTCACCCTCAAGTAACAGATAATACTCCCTACAACTGTACAACAACTCACCCTCAAGTAACAGATAATACTCCCTACAACTGTACAACAACTCACCCTCAAGTAACAGATAATACTCCCTACAACTGTACAACAACTCACCCTCAAGTAACAGACAATACTCCCTACAACTGTACAACAACTCACCACTATGTAACAGATAATACTCCCTACAACTGTACAACAGCTCACCCTCAAGTAACAGATAATACTCCCTACAACTGTACAACAACTCACCCTCAAGTAACAGATAATACTCCCTACAACTGTACAACAGCTCACCCTCAAGTAACAGATAATACTCCCTACAACTGTACAACAGCTCAACCTCAAGTAACAGACAATACTCCCTACAACTGTACAACAACTTACCCTCAAGTAACAGATAATACTCCCTACAACTGTACAACAGCTCACCCTCAAGTAACAGATAATACTCCCTACAACTGTACAACAGCTCACCGTTATGTAACAGACAACCCTGCGTCCTGTCAATCATCAATAATTATGTCTTATTTATTTTATTTATTATTTATTTTATGTATTTATTTCGGGCAATTAAAAGATTGACATTCTTATACAATGGAACATGTAACATGTAATAAAATCATAATAGAAATAACCACAAAATATTTGCATTGCAACTGCAAATGCAAATATTCTGACATTATACATTAAACTACATGAACTATTTACAGATGCGGACAGTGAGTAACTGTTAGATCTTGGTATTTGACACCTGTTTTTGCTACTTATTTAGAATTTATTATTACCATTAATGTTTTTTTTTCTCTTTGTTATTGTTTTATAATGTGATGATTGAGCTGCTGTGTCCAAATAATTTCCCTTGTGGATCAGTAAAGTTTGTCTAAGTCTAAATCAATAATATCTAAGAATAAAGGGTAATCTGTTAGGGTGAACTGTCACATAAGGGTGAGTTGTTGTACAGTTGTAGGGAGTATTATCTGTTACATAACAGTGAGTTGTTGTACAGTTGTAGGGAGTATTATCTGTTACATAACAGTGAGTTGTTGTACAGTTGTAGGGAGTATTATCTGTTACATAAGGGTGAGTTGTACAGTTGTAGGGAGTATTATCTGTCACATAATGGTGAGTTGTACAGTTGTAGGGAGTATTATCTGTTACATAACGGTGAGTTGTTGTACTGTACAGTTGTAGGGAGTATTATCTGTCACATAAGTGTGAGTTGTTGTACTGTACAGTTGTAGGGAGTATTATCTGGTACATAAGGGTGAGTAGTTATACAGATGTAGGGAGTATTATCTGTTACATAAGGGTGAGTTGTTGTACAGTTGTAGGGAGTATTATCTGTTACATAAATGTGAGTTGTTGTACTGTACAGTTGTAGGGAGTATTATCTGTCACATAAGTGTGAGTTGTTGTACTGTACAGTTGTAGGGAGTATTATCTGGTACATAAGGGTGAGTAGTTATACAGATGTAGGGAGTATTATCTGTTACATAAGGGTGAGTTGTTGTACAGTTGTAGGGAGTATTATCTATCACATAAGTGTGAGTTGTTGTACTGTACAGTTGTAGGGAGTATTATCTGGTACATAATGGTGAGTTGTACAGATGTAGGGAGTATTATCTGTTACATAAATGTGAGTTGTTGTACAGTTGTAGGGAGTATTATCTGTTACATAAATGTGAGTTGTTGTACAGTTGTAGGGAGTATTATCTGTTACATAAATGTGAGTTGTTGTACAGTTGTAGAGAGTAGAATTTACGCTACTTATTTCAGAATGCATTATTACCATTTTATTTATTTTTTTCTGTAATATTGTGATGTGTGAGCTACTGTGTCCAGATAATTTCCCTTGTGGATCAATAAAGTTTAAGTCAAAGTCTAAATCTAAATCAATAAGATCTAAAGGAGACAATGGGTGTTGAGAAAAGTGACAGCAGAGACTCGAGAGAGCAACAGACATGTGCACAAACTGGGTCAGGACTGTATTTTGGGATCGTAATCAAAGTCTGACCAGCAGCAGCAGCAACAACAGCAACAGCGACAGCAACACTCCTCTCCTCTCCAGACCCACTGTCCCTGAACCGTGCCACAGCAATGCGCATAGTGCGTAGTCTCCACCGAGGACCGAGGGGACACGAATTACCCCCCACAGTACACCAAAAAAAAACACGACACGATACAGAAAATAAAACAAAACACATCTCCACGAGCTCGTACGCGCGCCACAGCGACATCACAACGCAGAAAACCGAGCCTATTACAACCATGACTGGGCATTTGGCGAGTCCCCAAAACGAAAACAGCGTGAAAACTTAAGCGCTGAAGTCCACGATTATCATTATTACGCATCGAGAAGGAATAAAAATACTCGCAGGTGCTTAGCGCGTAATAAAATGGAAACAATTTAAGAAAGATAACGCGAGTATTTTAGCGCAAAACGACCCGAATTGTCACGTAATTAAAACTACAGTAGCGAACATGTGCAACTTTATGAATGCAGACGCTAAACGGTGGACAAAAACACTAAAACTGGTATCAGTGCTGCGTTAAAAACAACTTATTTAGTGGTTTTAAGATGTAACGCTAGATATTTGAGGTTTTTTGGTGAAATAACGCAAGCGTGTGCATAAATGTGGTTAAAAAAAACTACGCAGAAACGTACTTTTTTGGGTGGGTTTATAACGCAAAACTGCTGGGGAATGATTGTCCACGCGGGTTACGTCCACGGTCCTCGCGCCGGGTTTTACCTGGTGTCACGCGGGGGGGAAAAGTCCTCCTGGTGCTAGTCCCGGTTCAATGGTCCAAGTCCCCGGTTTTTAGTCCACTGTGTTCGGCTCGGAGTCCCGCTGGAGAGACAGAGCCGGTGCCGGTGGTGCTGCTGCTGCTGGTGCTGCTGCTTCTGTTCGTCGCTGCTTCGCCACACGATTGAAATGCAGGCATGTATCCTCCGGTGTCTCTGGTATGCAGTGCACCACAGGCAGAGCGCCGCTGCTGCTGCCACTGCTGCCTCCCCGCTCCCCGCTCCCCGCGCCCCGCTCTGCTCCGGGGGGACTGGGGAGGGGGGGGGGGACTCACTGGACCCGCTGCTCCCCGCCCACGAACCCACGAGCCGGTGCCCACGTACAAGCGCACCGGACGCACCAACACGCCGCTTTACATGTAAGAATAAAGTGACCACACGTCCCCATTTACTCAGGACAGTCCCAGGTTTGAGCCCTGTGTCCCCTGTCCCTGCAGATTTATACAAAAAAACACAACAATGATTTGTCCCAGTTTTGTACAAGAAATGTCCCAGGTGTCTCTACTTTTGATCTCTGCCAACAGTAAAGAGAGACACACATTGTCACTTGTTTGGGTAAATTACAGAAAAGCTGCTTAAAAATGACAAAAACACAAAGAAAATGTGACCATACTGAGTCAGACATGTCAGACTGGCCCACAAAAGAATTATTTTTGGCCCGCAAGCAGTGTTGGGGAGTAACAGATTACATGTACCGAAGTTAAGTAATCAGAGTACAAATTATGAGTAACTGTATTCAGTTACAGTTACTGTTTCAATTATTAGTAATTGGATTACAGTTACTTTGTTGAAATAAACAAACACCTTTTTTTTTTCTTGGTAATTGCACTCATTGCTGGACTCTAAACCAGGTCTAAACCAGGTCCAACCCAGGTCCAAACCAGGTCTAAAACCAGGTCTAAACCAGGACTAAAGCAGGACTAAACCAGGATTAAAACCAGGTCTAAACCAGGTGTAAAACCAGGTCTAAACCAGGTCTAAACCAGGACTAAAGCAGGACTAAACCAGGATTAAAACCAGGTCTACACCAGGTCTACACCAGGTCTAAAACCAGGTCTAAAACCAGGTCTAAACCAGGTCTAAACCAGGACTAAAGCAGGACTAAACCAGGATTAAAACCAGGTCTAAACCAGGTCTAAAACCAGGTCTAAACCAGGACTAAAACAGGACTAAACCAGGATTAAAACCAGGTCTAAACCAGGTCTAAACCAGGACTAAAGCAGGACTAAACCAGGATTAAAACCAGGTCTAAACCAGGTCTAAACCAGGTCTAAAACAGGACTAAAGCAGGACTAAACCAGGATTAAAACCAGGTCTAAACCATGTCTAAAACAGGATTTAACAGGACTGAATCCTGCTGTGTGGACGTGTTTCCTCGTCTTCTATTAATAATATTTTTAATTTGGTTCAGTAAAGTCTGGGCTTTTTTATTTTCTTTTATCAGACAAACAGTCTTTGCTTCTCTACAGTAAACCAAGTAATCTAAAGTACTCAGATTACATTACTCACTTCAAGTAATTTAATGGATTACGTTACAAACTACATTCTGAGGTGTGTAATCTGTAATCTGTAGGGGATTACATTTTAAAAGTCACCTTCCCAACACTGGCCGCAAGATCATATCAAATATGTGTAAGAGCTGCCCACTGGCTACAAAAATAGACTATAGAGACATTATTTTTTTTAAATGTTGTTATTATTATATTATATCCATGTTCAGAATTCAATGTTTAAGCAAAACTATTATCAAACATTTATTGTAATAAGAAAAGGTTTAAGATTATATATCTCGACAGAAGAGGAAACATGTAGACGTTGTTGAAAATTTTCAATACATTTTTAGTTTTGCCCACGACTTAGTCCCAGTTTTTAATTTTGGCCTCTGTGAAGTTGAGTTTGACACCGCTAAGGGTTCCCACGGTCATGGAAATCCTGGAAAAGTCATGGAATTTTGTAACTTCAATGAACGTTTTGGAAAAGTCATGGAATTTTAGTATCTCTTTCATGCAACTACAACATTGAAAATGACCATAAGAAAACAAAAAAGCACCGTCAGACGTCCCACAGATGATGTTTGACCCACAAAGTAAGTTATGAATGGACAATTTGTTACATTTAGGCTCTTTTTTCACAGATTTATTTATATTAAGCAGCCTAACTTTCTTTGTTAACTGCCTACATCTAGACCTACTGTTTTCTTTCTTTATACAAGAAATGTCCCCGGTGTCTCTATTTTTAACCAATTTGAAATCTGCCAACAGCAAAGAGAGTGTAGTGGACCAAACAGAAAGGCAAAGACAAGGTAAGTCTGAAATAAAATAAGTTTAAATTTAATAAAGCCAAAAAAGCCAAAAAAGATATAATTTAACAAAGGCTTAAATTAGGCAAATTACTAACAAAAAAGCTGGGCCCAACTGGGGTAACTCAAAATCAAACTGAACAGAACAAACTAACCCAACCAGACAAAGGAACAGGTGTGTTTAAATACCTGAGGACCAACTGAAGCTAAACACAAGAGGGAGGAATTACACTAATTTACTAACTAAACCAATAACTTAATCAAAGTAAACAAAGTAAAAAAAGCAAATAATTATAATACAGAAAATAATAAGTGATAATAATGTGACCTTAACACAAACTAAACAAATTAACTTAGTAAAACAAACTAAATAGTGCTCCCCCCCTTTGCTGAGTCCTGATGGTCTCTCCCAGGGTCCGTCCGTCCGGTGCTCAAAAAAACAAAAAGAACAAGTGTAAGTAAATTAGACTTATATTAACTAAAATGCGTGCACTCAAATTAGAACATAAGTCTAAATAACAGAATTAAATTAAATTAGTGTAATTAACTTAATGTAAATAATAATGAAAATTAAATAATACTGACACTATGGAGCGGTGGCAGAGGGATCCACCACAGAGAGGCATAAATTGTCATTTGTTTAGGTAAAATACAGAAAACCTGCTTAAAAATGACCAAAACACAAAGAAAATATGACTCAACTCAGGATTCCCACGGTCATGGAAATCCTGGAAAAGCCATGGAAATTGAAAATGTCATTTTCCAGGCCTGGAAAAAGTCATGGAATTTTGCAACTTCCATGAAAGTTTTGGAAAAGTCAGGGAATTTTAGTATCTCTTTCACGCAACTCCAGCGTTCTGTTAAGTTCTCATGAAGCTATTCTGATTATTTCTGAACGTCTGCGACTTTTGTTTAAAACAGACGACAATAAATCCACTGACAGGATTTTGAATATTAAAAAACTATAAAACCAAACCATAATGTGAGTGGAAAGAGTTAACGTTTCATATTTAGTCCTAAAAGCCTGATCAATTCTACACATGTAGGTGCTGTAAAGTCATGGAAAAGTTTTGAAATTTTGTCAGTGAAAAAGAGTGGAAACTGTTTTACATATGAGTCGTGAATAAATCATAAATGGGCCGAGTGCAGAACAATTTCCTTTATTTATGCTTTTGTTTCACAGTTTTATTATTAACAACCAGTGTTGGGAAGGTGACTTTTAAAATGTAATCCCCTACAGATTACAGATTACATACCCCAAAATGTAGTTTGTAACAGAATCCATTAAATTACTTAAAGTGAGTAATGTAATCTGAATACTTTGGATTACTTGATATTGTCATGCTTTTTAGTTTAGTTCTGGTTTTAGTCCTGGTTTTAGTCCTCGTTTAGACCTAGTTTAGTTTTGGTTTTAGTCCTGGTTTAGTCCTGGTTTAGTTCTAGTTTAGTCCTAGTTTAGTTCTAATTTAGTCCTAGTTTAGTTCTAATTTAGTCCTAGTTTAGTCCTGGTTTAATCCTAGTTTAGTCCAAGTTTAGTTTTGGTTTTAGTTATGATTTAGTTCTAGTTTAGTCCTAGTTTAGACCTAGTTTAGTTTTAGTTTTAGTCCTGGTTTAATCCTAGTTTAGTTCTAGTTTAGTCCTAGTTTAGTTTTGATTTTAGTCCTGGTTTAGTCCTAGTTTAGTTCTGGTTTAATCCTAGTTTCGTCCAAGTTTAGTTTTGGTTTTAGTCCTGGTTTAGTCCTAGTTTAATTCTAGTTTAGTCCTAGTTTAGTTTTGATTTTAGTCCTGGTTTACTCCTAGTTTAGTTCTGGTTTAATCCTAGTTTAGTCCAAGATTAGTTTTGGTTTTAGTCCTGGTTTAGTCCTAGTTTAGTTCTGGTTTAGTCCAAGTTTAGTTTTGGTTTTAGTCCTGGTTTAGTCCTAGTTTAGTTCTAGTTTAGTCCAAGTTTAGTTTTGGTTTTAGTCCTGGTTTAGTCCTAGTTTAGTTCTAATTTAGTCCTAGTTTAGTTCTGGTTTAGTCCTAGTTTAGTTTTGGTTTTAGTCCTGGTTTAGTCCTAGTTTAGTTCGGTTTAGTCCTAGTTTAGTTTTGGTTTTAGTCCTGGTTTAGTCCTAGTTTAGTTCTAATTTAGTCCTAGTTTAGTTCTAATTTAGTCCTAGTTTAGTTCTAATTTAGTCCTAGTTTAGTCCTAGTTTAATCCTAGTTTAGTCCAAGTTTAGTTTTGGTTTTAGTCCTGGTTTAGTCCTAGTTTAGTTCTAGTTTAGTCCTAGTTTAGTTTTAGTTTTAGTCCTGGTTTAGTCCTAGTTTAGTTCTAGTTTAGTCCTAGTTTAGTTTTGATTTTAGTCCTGGTTTAGTCCTAGTTTAGTTCTGGTTTAATCCTAGTTTAGTCCAAGTTTAGTTTTGGTTTTAGTCCTGGTTTAGTCCTAGTTTAGTCCAAGTTTAGTTTTGGTTTTAGTCCTGGTTTAGTCCTAGTTTAGTTCTAATTTAGTCCTAGTTTAGTTCTGGTTTAGTCCTAGTTTAGTTCTAATTTAGTCCTAGTTTAGTTCTGGTTTAGTCCTAGTTTAGTTCTGGTTTAGTCCTAGTTTAGTTTTGGTTTTAGTCCTGGTTTAGTCCTAGTTTAGTTCTAATTTAGTCCTAGTTTATTCTTTAGTCCTAGTTTAGTTCTATTTAGTCCTAGTTTAGTTTTTAGTTTTAGTTTTAGTTTTAGTCCTAGTTTAGTCCTAGTTTAGTTTTAGTTTTAGTCCTGGTTTAGTCCTAGTTTAGTTCTAGTTTAGTCCTAGTTTAGTTCTAATTTAGTCCTAGTTTAGTCCTAGTTTAATCCTAGTTTAGTCCAAGTTTAGTTTTGGTTTTAGTCCTGGTTTAGTCCTAGTTTAGTTCTAGTTTAGTCCTAGTTTA